TGTTGGTGATGCTGGTGCTGCTGCTGCTGGGGGTGGTGTCTGTGGGGTCTCGAGTACGAGCAGCAGCACCAGCACCAGCAGCAGCAGCAGCAGCAGCAGCAACAGCAGCAGCAGCAGGAGGAGGAGGATGAGAAGCAAAAGCAGCAGCAGTTTCTATTGCAGCAACAATCAACGCCAATACATACAGCAGCACATGGTCACTAAGATCTATATCAGACCAGCTGAATCTATCTTCTTCTTCCTGCTGCTGCTGCTGCTGCTGCTGCTGCTGCTGCTGCTGCTGTTGCTGCTGCTGCTGCTGCTGCTGCTGCAGCGTATCCAGCCAGGCCCCTAGTCTGCTGCCTAGCCAGTTGAACCCAGTGTATAGACAGAGGCCCCTATAAAGAATAAGGAAAGAAAGAAAAAGAAAACGAGGCAAATGCACTAGCGTGAGGGGAGCAGCAGAGAACACAGACACAAACCAACCCCCCAGCAGCAGCAGCGGCAGCTGCAGCCCCCCCCACCCCAGCAGCCGTCTATGTAAGAAAGAAGATAGAGGGTAGCAGGGAGTGTTTATGTTTGTTTGTTCTATAGATAGAGACAAAAAAGGCAGAGTTGATAGAGATTCGTCTCCTGCTGCTGCTGCTGCTGCTGCTGCTGCTGCTGCTGCTCCTGCTCCTGCTGCTGCTGTTGCTGTTGTTGGTGTTGTTGCTGCTGAGGGTTGTGCTGCGTTTGCTGCTACGCCGCTGACGACGGATGATGCTCCTTCTGCTTCTCCTGTTGCTGCTGTTGCTGCTGTTGCTGCTGCTGCTGCTGCTTCTGTTGCTGCTGCTGCTGCTGCTTCTGTTGCTGCTGCTGCTGCTGCTGCTGCTGCTGTCTTTCCATTATATTCTAATAAACTAAAAAATGCTGAAGGCAGCAAACCACCGGTAGCAGCACGAAGAGCTGAGGCGTAGACAATGGTGCGGCCTCGCGGGGTCCCCAGGTGCAGCAGCAGCTGCTGCTGCTGCTGCTGCTGTTGCTGCTGCTGCTGCTGCAGGTAGTGCTGCTGCTGCTGCTCCAGCAGCTGCACCAGCAGCAACTCAAAAGCCATCGCGCAGCAAGCAGACTTCGAGTTGCCTGCAGCATAAGACACAGGAAAACATACAGCCTGCTGCTGCTGCTGCTGCTGCTGCTGCTGCTGCTGTTCATGCTGCTGCTGCTGCAGCAGCTGCAGCAGCTGCTGCCGCTCAGAAGTCCTAGGGCAGCTGCACTGCATGCAATCCCCCGGAGGGAAAGCACAAGCAGCAGGAGATTCTGCTGCTGCTGCTGTTGCTGCTGCTGCTGCTGCTGCTGCTGCTGCTTGCTGGGGGGAGCGCAGGCCGAAGAGCTTTGCTGCTGCTTCTTTTGCTGCTGCAGCAGCAGCGTGCTGCTGCTTGCGTAGCTGTGTTGCTGCTGTGACGGTAGCATCTGCTGCTGCTAGTGCTGCTGCTTTTATTCGCCTCAGCCCGGCACTAAGCCAGTCTCCAGCAGCAGCAGCAGCTGCTGCTGCATGCGCTGCAGCAGCAGCAACAAGAGACCCAAAGTCTTCTTCTGCACATACAAGTATTTGATTTGCTGCTGCTGCTGTTGCTGCTGCTGCTGCACCTCTTGCTGCTGCAGCAGCAGGAATAAAGGATGTCAGTCGCTTTGCTGCTGCAGCAGAAGTGAAGAACCACACGCCCTTAGGAAACGGTGGCAGCGAGCAGGTGCTGCTGCTGCTGCTGCTGCTGCTGCTGCTGTTGCTGCTGCTGCTGTTGCTGCTGCTGCTGCTGCTGACGGAAGCAAAGGGAGACAAAATGCTGCTGCTTCGGCTGTCTGTAGTGCTGCTTCTGCTGATGCTGCTGCTGCTGCTGTCCATGCTGCTGCTGCTGCTGCTGCTGCTGCTGCTGCTTGAAGGCAACAAAAGGTGAGCGGAGTGAAACACATTCGTTACATACTCTCTTGCTGCAGCAGCAGCAGCAGCAGCAGCATCTGCTGCTGCTGCTGCTGTTGCAGCATTGCTGCTGCAGCTGTCATGGCTGCTGCACCAGGCTTCTGTACCAATGTACTGCTGCTGCTGCTGCTGCTGCTGCTGCTGCTGCTGCTGCAGCAACTGCAGCATTTCCATTGCTGCTTCTGATGAAAGTGCAGCAGCTTGATCAGCATCAACCCCTGCTGTTGCTGCTGCTGCTGCAGCAGCAAATGCTGCTGCTGCTTCCTTCGACGGCTGCAGCAGCAGCAGCTGCTGCTGCAGCTCAAAGAGCTGCTGCGGGTGATGCCAGCAGAGTGGAAGCTGATGATGATGTTGCTGCTGCTGCTGCTGCTGCTGCTGCTGCTGTTGCTGCTGCTGCTGCTGCTGCAGCAGCTGCTGCTGCAGCTGCCTGAACGTCGCCAGCTGCAGCCGCTGCAAATCCCTAGGCCTCAGCCGCACCAGCTTGCTGCTGTGGAGGAGGGACCCCAGCAGCAGAGCTGCTGCTGCTGATGCTGCTGCTTTGTTGCAGACCTTGGACTGCTCTGCTGCAGCTGTTGCTGCTGCTG